CAGAGATCTGAGAGGGTATAAATTCTTAATGTTACTAATAGTTGATAATAGTGCGTTTATGCTTAAATCACCAAAAATCAGAATACTACTCAAACCAAACATTTGCATTTTACAGATGCCATCATCATCATTCCAATACATCATCCCAATACATTAACCCAAATACAGTTTCCGGGAAAAAAGGACCATGGTTTGAAACATGATATATGTGGAGAGAAGGGAGGAGAAAGAAGGAGAGAGGGGAGAGGAGGACTCAGCTGAGAAGAGAGACGAGGGAGCGACACGCTGACTAATCATCTGTCTACAAAACAACTGAGTAGGCTCAAAACATTACCGTTCTTGTGGTAATTACACATTGTGCAACTCATGTTGATAATGGCGGGTAATACTCGGGAAGTAGTAAACCTTTTGTTTAAATGTAGAGAAAGAGAGAGGGGAGAAGAGTAAGATGAGGAGAAGATAGGGAGATGAGAGCGGGCAATTCCCTGACTAACAATCTGTCAAACAACTGATGAGTAGACAAAAACACTCATAATATTATTGGTTTTTATGGTAATTAGGTGTTTTAGCGATAGTTTACACACAGGAGCAGGTCTCATTACAAAGAGCCGCGCTGCTTGAAACTTTATAAAGGAGCTCCTTAAAGTGGTTACATTTAGCTCAGGGTAGCAGAATGAGGATCTTTGTGAGCCTTATAAAGGAATGATTGGAAACATTCCAAGTGTTTGGGCTTATTTGGAATTGTAATAATGTTTCCGGCAGGAAATGTTGAATTGATAGCTTTGATAAAATGCGTGGTTAACAATTCGATAAATTCAGGCTTGTCTCTAACTACCATTACCATGTCAATTTTGAGTTGCTTATAATCTCGATAATTTCTAAGTTTAATTTCAGCTGTAAATCTCCATGTAATTACAGCGAAGTTTCCACGTTTACATGTACAAGTTGAATTGTGTACTCCGAGAGAAACGACTTGTTACGAGAATCTAAATCAAATTTAAGTTACAATTGGACAACACAGATCTAGTTAAAACTCCCTGATCATGAGGGATACAGTATTAACCGGTACAGTTAGATCAGGTCCTGGAAATATTATGTAACATTTTACATTCCGGAGACCACACCAAAATAACACACATGCATACCTCACATACCATGGCATACTACACAACATGTACATTGAAACACCTAAACACGTGGGAGAGATGATTATACTGTGTAAATACTAATACCTCATCTACTTCCTATACAAACCGACCGACAGGAGAGTTTGACATTAGATCTACAATCTACATCGCACATTGTAGACTCTACATCGCACATTGTAGACTCTACATCGCACATTGTAGACTCTACATCGCACATTGTAGACTCTACATCGCACATTGTAGACTCTACATCGCACATTGTATACTCTACATCGCACATTGTAGACTCTACATCGCACATTGTAGACTCTAACCTGCACATTGTAGACTATACATCGCAGATTGTAGACTCTAACCTGCACATTGTAGACTCTAACCTGCACATTGTAGACTCTAACCTGCACATTGTAGACTCTACATCGCACATTGTAGACTCTAACCTGCACATTGTAGACTCTACATCGCACATTGTAGACTCTACATCGCACATTGTATACTCTAACCTGCACATTGTAGACTCTACATCGCACATTGTAGACTATACATCGCACATTGTAGACTCTACATCGCACATTGTAGACTCTAACCTGCACATTGTATACTCTACAGTCTACATGTCGTATATTATATGGTATATTTTATAGACTTCTCCACGATGTATAACAATCCACCCTAAGTTGACAATATAAACAAATCACTGATGTATTTTCATTGTTCAAAGCACCAGGTGCTCTGTCCCTTTATTTAAAGAAAGCAGAAGGGATGTAAGATCATTTTTCTAATTTCGGCTGTACTAGTGACTGAAGAATAAAATCATTATATACAATATATAATGTTATACAAATAATGTTTTGTATAATGTTATTATAGCTGACTCCAACAATAAGTGTAATATCCACCTACTCAGGCAGCTAATATGTGTGCGCTCGCTCGGAACCGCTATCATGTGTAGATAACGAGCTAAATATAACAACGCGGACAAACGTACATTTTATTGTTGTGATTTATCTGAGCTTGATCTGAGCTTGATCTGAGCTTAATCTGAGCTTAATCTGAGTTCGATCAGAGTTTGATCTGTGTTCACATCATGAGTGTATTGTGTATCATACACAATATTATTGTAAAGAACTTGAGGAAAAGGGTTATAGAATATGTGTATTGTTAAAGGAAGCTCCTTTTGTGGGGCGAATGAATTTAGGAACTATACTTAGAACTGAACTTAACTTAAATTAAGTTAATAAATGAGATAATAATTAAATAATCAAGTTAGGGAGTATATTAAGGAGTGAAGGAAAGAACACCCGGACGGGAAGACATAATATTTTGATCAGTTCCGTGTAAAACGCATGACATCACCCTACACATAACCAACTAGACTTATCTTCAAAGGCAGGACTCATCATCCCACTATTTACCAGGTAACACTTTCAAATGAAACCCTAAAAAAACTTAATTTGGGGTCATGATTTGCCGAGAGAAGTTTTAGCGCCGAAATTTCTGTCTTCTTGAACCGAGACACCTGTCACACAGTCGAGTAGCACCAGCCAGCTAGTAGTAGTAGTAGTAGCCTCTCAACAAAGTCTTTAATCCTGTATTTTAATTTCGACATGCAGATAATGATTGTACTTTACAATGTATGGGATGAGCTTATTATTTTGTATATACTTACACAATAATACGTATGATGCTTATCGTGTATTTTGTTTACGTTGTATATATTTAATATTTAATGACAACAGGGGGAGTCTATCAAATTAAAGATTTTAAAGTTGGGGTTAGAATGTGTAACTCTGTGAGGATCATTTATTTAATGTAATTTTTGTGTAAATGTCACGACTGAGCAGGACTTTTTAAGAGCATGCGATGTGAAGAACATTTCACGTTTTATCGAATCATTACAGGGGTGAGTTGAACTTTTCTTCATTCTTTGAAATGATTTTAATGTAAACCTTAGATGAGTAATTATGAGAATCCTTTTTGTGGACACCTTAAATCTAACTTAGTAAGTTAGTTACAAACATGAACAGGGTGTCAGAAACTTTAAAATCTCCGCACTACTATGGGCTTACCTAACCACTTTGTACCTAATAAAGAAACCGGGAAAAAACTTTTGAAGATAACTGAAAAATTATGTGTAGACAGGTCGTTGACCAGTGGAACATTTTTCAAATTTCAAGGAAATATTTATAATATGCACAGTGCACACCACCAGTCTATCCCCTGTAACCTTAATGAACTAATCATATCGAGATATGATACAAAGTAAGAGCACTCCCCCAGCCTGCTGACAGTATACTGCAACATCCGTACTAAACAGCGGCAGAGTCCTTCCCCTGCTCCTAACTTCACCCTGACGGCCTCCCTTCCGCCAGGGATCCTGACAAGCGGCACCAGCCAGCACAGCTCACCTGTTGACAGTTTACACCCTCAGATCCTTGATAAGAGACACCCCACACGAGACACACGAGTCCCGTCATATTACAACATGGCTTACACGCCGCGCGCGCGACCACAGAATGCGAGATTTTAACTCCCGTTTTTAACTTGTGTGCAATGTGCATTGTGTGCTCTCCTCGGCTGTGTATGTAGGTTATGCCGCTGACATGTGGTGTTCTTGATGGAATGTGACACGGTGCTTGTTTGTGGGGTGTCGGACAAGTTTATACGTTGGGTATTATATCTAGAGATACATTTGTAACATGTACAGTGTCAAGTGTCACAAATGTAAGGAGTTGCCAACTATTATTACTAGGTTTTCCCACTGCTCCAGTCAGTGAACATTGAGTTCACGGTAACTACATAACTACACCGTACTTCTAGACTACTGTAAGTCTGGAGTAATATATAATGTGCGGTCTGGCAGTGAGAGGGATGGAGAGAGGGAGGGAGGGAGGGAGGAAGGGAGGGAGGGAGGGAGGGAGGGAGGGAGGGAGGGAGGGAGGGAGGGAGAGAGAGGAAGGGAGGGAGGGAGGGAGGGAGGGAGGGAGGGAGGGAGGGAGGGAGGGAGGGAGGGAGGGAGGGAGGGAGGGAGGGAGGGAGGGAGGGAGGGAGGGAGGGAGGGAGAGAGGGAGGGAGGGAGAGAGGGAGGGAGGGAGGGAGGGAGGGAGGGAGGGAGGGAGGGAGGGAGGGAGGGAGAGAGAGGAAGGGAGGGAGGGAGGGAGGGAGGGAGAGAGAGGAAGGGAGGGAGGGAGGGAGGGAGGGAGGGAGGGAGGGAGGGAGGGAGGGAGGGAGGGAGGGAGGGAGGGAGAGAGGAAGGGAGGGAGGGAGGGAGGGATGGAGGGAGGGAGGGATGGAGGGAGGGAGGGAGAGAGGGAGGGAGGGAGGGAGGGAGGGAGGGAGGGAGGGAGGGAGGGAGGGAGGGAGGGAGGGAGGGAGGGAGGGAGGGAGGGAGGGAGGGAGGGAGGGAGGGAGGGAAGGGGGGAGGGAGGGAAATGTCCACTTCATGAGAATTAACTGCATATTATTCATAGCTGCTTATTTTTACTAAATTGCCGTTTTAAAAGTTAATCGCAATTTCTCTTAATTCAAACTTGTTAGGCCTAGCAAGCATTGTACACCAAAGTTCTGTTTTCGTTTTTATGTAGTAAAGATACCGGTAAAGGTGCCGAATAATTATTATTATAGGTATGACATCTCATTATTTTAACAGTTGCAGAAATCCAACAGCAAGTCTGAATCGAACATAGTTTAAACAAAAATTACGGGTGATTGTGTTGCAATTTGTAGTTTTAACATCTTGCATTTTTTCACTGAACCAGCAGCCGCTTTGACATCAATAATTATAATGTTGATATTGACTGAACTATTATAAGCGGTATAAAGTATTTCAAGGCGTTCTACAAATTAACTCACTCTGTGTACAGATCACAACGATGATAACGAACTGTGCTCATTCCAATTGAAACGTTCTCGTACAATATACTGACATCTAACAACATCAGTCCTGCGGGAAGAATTGATGTCAATAATAACATAAAATCTATCAGTTGCAGTTTAAAGAGACGAAATATTTGTGGGGACATACAGTTCAGCTATGACAATATGACAACGACGTTAAAACTTTACATACTATAAACAGTGCCCATTTTACATTGAGCAATAAGAAGTAATAGAACCAGCACTTACCGGAATTGATACGGGATATAACCGGAACAGCACAGTGTATCTCAGAGCCACTGTAAGAACCGTTAGTAATGTGTACCTCTGCTGGATCTGTTGGGCTGGTAAACTCACACGTGTACTTCAGGTCGGTGGGTAGGGTGATGTATAGCGCGGATACGTTCAGCTGGAAATAAATTCATCGTCAAAAATAGTCGTAAAGTTAATATTTTACATCCATATTATATTCTTTCAGTTTATTTTCTGTTTGACTATATCTCACGAGATATTATCCCCAATGTCCAATGCCAATAACGAGTAAGAAGTTGGTTAAATCAACCTCACTGTCCAGGAAGAGTGGACCACCAATTTAAAAACATTCTCTAATTAGAGATTTGTCATTGTGTAGGTTTCACTTAATCAGAAACTTCCAGCCAACCTTCAGTTCCACTCTTAATCAATATATAAAAACCTAACACGCTTTGTTTTGATACCCGCGTATCACTTAAATCCGATAAGATCAGTCTAAGCCATGATTGGCTACATTTGGCCACATGACTGAAATAAAAGCCCGCTATTGGCTGGAACTTGTGAGGTTATCTTAGAACGTTGGTGACATGTAGGGTGGTCAAGTTACAGAGGGTGGGAGAGAGAGAGATGAGGGGAGAGGGATGTGTGTTAAAACTCACTAACGTCATTATTATCACACTTTTATTCATAATCGTCAGATGGCAGGAATTGGATTACAAATTTGGGGGTTTATGTGTTTTATGGAGAAGGATCTTTAGCATTGAGGGCATTCAAAAATGATGATGATAAGTAAATGTCATAAGATTAGATTTTAAGCAGACGTTTCACGACTAAACATACAGTGCTGACTGCTGATTAAGTACATTCTCTTCCGGATAAAGTAGCAACAATGTACACGGTGTTACCCTGTATTATATATTATCGTGATATATAATACACTATACACATTCTGTTATCTATATGGGTGCTGATTCATTTTATACACCAAACATCACTGACGAAACTTGTAGGCACCTCATAGAACCTTTGAATTGGATAGTTCACTAAACTGTATGACCCACGTTACAATAATGCTCATAAAAGTGAAGTAGAGGACACCACGACGTAACACTACATTTTATCACATATTTTATCACATATTTTATCACACAGAGAGTTGCTGCACCTGGGGACTAGTGCAGCAACCTGGATCATTGGGTACAGGGAATGTGCTGGAATGTTTACAACGGCTAGCTCATTAATCACATCTGGTGTTGTGTAACTTTGAACGTGAAGGTTGACTGACAGATCTTCTTGTCGTCTTATTCTATATATAATTGGTTCTAACTTCCGGGTATAATGTAACTGATAAGTTCTGAAAACTAAATCTGTATTTTGAATACGGCGCTTAGAGTAAAAATATTTAAATTCTTAAAGTAAAATTATCAGTCATGTGACAAAATTAAATAAATTTTAGATGAAATTAGAGTAAAAACTCACATTAATACCAGACATAACATCGATGTTATCATCAGTGATATCGATCTCTAGGCACTCTGACGAGCTCTTGGTCCACAGATCCGGTTTAATCGTACACTGAGACAGTGTCGTGCACCTAAATAAGAAATGTTACACAAATCTTCACTATTTTTAAATATACAAATAAACTGTAGCTGTAAGTGTAAAGAAAGAGCAGAGTAAAGGAGGAACGGCTGAGACTCTTGTGCAGATATAATAAGAATACAGTTAACTTATGGCTTATAAGGTAAGTGGTTTAGGTATAATATCATGACATCTGAATTTCTTATAATATTTAACTGACACAAATATTTATCGATAAATTACTGTATAAAATTAGACTTTATTTATTCATTTATCTGAGTATAATTTTCTCACTCGTTTTGAAGAGTGCACCAGCCACAGTGAGGATCCCTTAGTTCAGTGCAAGATTCACAGTCTGCATACTTTCCACATTGGTGAGGCACGAAGCTTACGATCTGAAATTTACAAATTATAAAACACACCACAATTATTAAATTTAGAGTCAACACAACGTCCACGATCATAAACCACACAAACTTCATCTTTTATCTGTCTATTTTAAGTGCAAACACCAATGTCCGCTTTGAAAACGAATATCAGTTGGATTTGACATAATACGAGATCAGACCATTTAATTGAACATTGGTTTGTTCTGTGTAAACCGATTAAGTTAAGAACATAAAAATACCCACGGTCAAATTTGACGATGCGTAAACCAATTCATCGTTGAAAAATTCCAGTTTGTTGATTTCCTCAGAAGTGGTGATCAGAATCCCAAGAGATCGGAATGAAGCGTCATTTTCGGACAAGACAATCTGAAAGTGGTGATTAATGTAAATCAAACACGAACAAGTCATCAATATTGCATGGCTCGGTGACAGGAGGGCCAGGGGTTTAGCAAAAGAAATTAATTAACAAAGCCACGCTTAACTATACTGAACTAGGTCATAAGCAACAGCTTAGTTATTAGTTTGAATCCACTAGGGAAATTCGAGTAATAGAAGTATGGTTGAAATCTAACTATTTAATTAGAGTGTCATGATTTAATGAAGATTTTTAAGAGTGGCCCAGAGTTACCACAATATCAAGGCCAAGTATAAGTAAGCTGTGATTTGAGGATATATACAATTATAATCAAGAATTGATATATCTCACCTTATACACAGTTGGTCCAATTGAATAAAGTATCACAAGTTCATCATTGACGAGTCGTCCATTGAATGACTTTATATCATCACTTCCAGTATCAGTTGTAAACAAGGAATTTTTATTTAATTCAATCAAATCTCTCTGATTATCTGATGGCTTCATCTCAGTATCCTCAGTGTATGAGCAGATTCTATATTGAGATATATCGTTGTTGTAGAGCACAAAATGAGTGAGTTTACCAGCAGAAAGAATATTTCCTACTTTAGATGAAGTTCCTCCTTTCAATCCGAACCCAAGAGCGATCTTATCTGCGTTGCTATCACAATTCAGAAGTGCAACAGGATTTCCAGAAAGCCGTTCAATATCCGGGTTGAAATAAAATGCGCTCTGCTTAGTAGACGACTTCCTAATCACCACATAGGTTTGAAATTTAGTGGGCGCAGGACTTAATACCTGAGAACGGAATTGTCTTATATTTTGTAGTCCATTGATGTGTTTTTCTTCGTAATCAAGTTTGTTACTGCTGACATGAGGAAACCAAATTCTCGAAAAGCTCCCAGTTGTTTGTTTAGGTAGAATGAAGTAGGACACCAGCATATAGAAATTATTGCCAGCTCCATTGGCCGCTGTACTGTAGCAAGGGTAGTGGAATCTGTTCAGCTGGAACTGGTTACATAGTCCTCTATCGTTAGTGCTCGCAACGCTTGTTAAAGTCAGGGGATCTCTCAAAAAGCAACAATCATCAGATGATGTCAAATTACTTCCACATTCCAGCAGGAAGTCTGAATTTGCAAAGAACAGCAAAGATTTGGTGAAGTTTTTAGAAAAATCATTAACCCTTGACAATGAATTGTTCAACAGGTAAGTCCTTTTTGGTGTGGTAACATAAACTCTATCTTCTATTATAGAAAAGTCATCAATAGGGTCCTCCTTAGCTGTTTCAAAATTCTTCGCTGACAGTAATGTGGAAGAGACAATTAGGAGAAGTAACTTGAGCATTTCTAGCCATCCATTGTACAGCTACATGACCTGAAATAATTTGCAAATAAATAAACGTGTCTTTTTTTTTTTTTTTTAAACAAATTTTATTTTATACCCACAATCAATTCATATTTAGTTCAAATATTTAAAGTCAAAATAACCATTTCACATAAGTGGTTATATTATAATAAAATAATTTGTGATAAATTAATAAATTAATTTACACTCAAAAATGAACAAAATATACACAATTTTTACCTAGTGCAACACTGGTTCAGCGCGCGGCTGATCGAAAAAGTTTGATTTGATTTACTAACTACAGTGTACAGCGTACATGAAAAAATTACTTACTGAATCTTTTAATACTAGACACATTTTAATTCAGATGTTGTTCAATGAGTTAGCCACAAAAATGTTCAAATTATGTAGGAGGGTAAAGGACACAATTGCTAGTAGTGCTTCTTTGTGCCCGTTGACTACAATGAACATTTTGCGGAGTTTCTCCAGACGGCTTTTATCGGAGTGCGTGTTATTTACTTGGTTATGCACAAGCCAGGCCAACATTTTGTTTTTGTGTCAGCCGAGCTACCAGGTTGCAGAGTATTATAAACACTAAACAATTATACACTATACAAATTTGCTAATACAATATCATGCAGAGTCCGATCTAGCTGCAAACGTCAGACACCACAGTTCAGCCGCCAAGTACCGTTTAAGTGAACACCGAAACACGAGGTTTAGGTGTCATTTTGTAAATCACTTTATGGATGGATAATTCAGTAATTGTTGAAGAAAATTACAGTCACTGCCACCTATAGCGTTATGTCATGGGTCTGATTAACGGCCAAGAATAAACGTACGTGTGCGCTTAAGAAACCCGCGCAAATGTTGAGGTAGGGAGTAGCTGCGGCGCGCTTTTAACATATATTACGTATAGCGCCGTACGGAAACGGCAATATTTAAGTAATTAAGTATTTGTTTACATAAATTCCACGTTTTTATCAATAATCTAGCATGGTCCAAAACTGTTAAAGTTGTCATTATGCCACTAGAACTTTTATAATTTCAGAATTTCAACAGTTAGTGTCCTACAAGATTTGTCAAATCAGCAAAAACAAGAATAATTGAGACCATAAAAACATCAACCTTTCTAAGACTAAAATCCAGGATATCTAACAATAATAAAAAGTTATGAAAAGAGATCAAAGGTTGTAAGGCAGCGATAAATCCTTTTGGCTCAATAAAATTTAGAAGCTGTAAAAGGAAAATAAGTTTCTTCTTGGATGTTATGCCTAAAACTCAAAAATATAAGGCTCATTCTGAACAAACACAAATCCTCTGATGCTCTTTTCTATAGCCATTTGGTGGTTGATGTGATGAGAACAGAATTATTTTTAGGAGTATCTCCTTTAGGGGTATCCCACCCATGATATGTGATGTGTCAAATGTAAGTGCCAGTCTTGAGATACACAAGTTAAGTGGGAGATACTAAAAAGTAGGAGAGTAGAATGACAAATAAAAAGTAGGAAAAAAGTAGGAACGGTGCAAATTTAGTAGTCTGAGCTTTAAGTTTTCAGTGCCTGATCACAATGTCATGTCTGAGGTCAGTATCAGTGATCTCAGACATAAGATAATAATCTTGAGTGGGGCCACTTAAAAATTTGAAACATACATTTAGCTCCTTGACGGTGTTTTGCTCCACCTTTCTAGGACCAAGAAATAATGTTATGATTGAGTTTGATAAAAAATGTTTCCAACAGTAAAGTAAAATTTAAGATAGATACTGATCTTTGATGCAAAAGTAAGATTACTTTATTGAACAAAATATCAGGCAAGGAGCAGCGGCCTGAATGCCGAGCCAAAGGTTTGGTGATAATGTTTCCATGAGTGGAATAATATTTTAGACATAGAAACTGGGCTTTCAATTCTAAGGTGCAACTATTCTGTTTGACGAAGTATCAAGACAAGGAGCATAGTCGAGGGCATAGCCCCAAGGGGCCGATGGTCTGATTAAGATGTGTGAAAAAGTGTCAGTGCAGTAGGCCAATGAGCAGGACTAATTTTAGAGAAATGAATATATCTACTATATAAAATGAAGAATTATTTTTGTACGACTCCGCCCATGTGCAAATTCTGCGCATGTGGTCATTGTAAAGTTTGCTTTGCCCAAATTTGACTGCCAAAATTGGTACAATTTGACCGGTTGAGCTATTCAGTGAGCTAGCATGCCACCTGGTGTTCACCCTTTGTTAATATTTCACCCAGATGGAAACAAATGTTCACTGGACACTTTAACATGTAATCTATATGTGTTACTCAGCCAATGTGGAGCATATCAGTGCTTCAAAGTGACATTTTAAAACTTTTTGCAATCTCGTTGGTAACTGAATCTGGCAGTCAAAACAGGTTGAGACTCTCAGAAAAAGGTCCCATCTACACAGAAAGCCCCGGTTGAGACAACTTTTAATGCTCAGCCTGTGTGCAGCAGTAGCTTGAAAGTTAGGCAATTTTCAAGACCAAAAATCATACGCTAAACAGTCAAGTTTTTGGTTGAAACTCTATGAACTTATTAGCTGAAACCCCTCTCAAGAGTTTTTGACTATTTTCGATAACACACCATGTCTCAACCGACGTGGAGCGAGGTTTTGGCAATGTAGAAATTTGTAAATTTTTAATTTATTAGCTTTTCATAATGCTTTTGTTTAGATCTGTAAGATTTTTTTAGCTTGGTAACTCTTACTAACTCTATTTTGAGTACTGAAACGGATATTTATATTCAGTACACTTCTCTCAACCCTGTGGAGCCCAAAATGGTTAAAAATTTGCCAACTTTTAAATTCTTTCTGGGTTAAGATAAAGTGACTTCTGTGATTTACATCTTGACTCCTGTATCTATATTTTCACCGTTGATGCAGACTCTTTAGTCGAGAACAGCCTATCTCAACCATGTGGAGCAAAAAGAGGTCTTCCTTTTGATCAATCGAGACAACTTTTAAGTGCTTCATGGGATATCATTTTTATTCATTCTAGAGAAAATATGTTATAATATTGGTGGTCAATAAACTTACTTCATGGGAACTATTCAGTGCTCAACCTGTGTGGAGCAGAGATGATTTCTGTTGTATTAGATTTTCGAAGCTCACCGCAGACCAATATGTAGTTGACCAAATAAAGTTTTACTCAGTTTGACTCTATTATTTTTTGTCATTTCTAGCTCTGCTCCACTCTGGCTGAACAGTTCTGGAACATCAATCATGGTAAGAAAAGTATTTAAAGTATATCAGTAAACTTTAAATTGCATTACGTACAAATTCGCTACAGATCGACCATCATGGAGCTGGAGACTCTTTTTACCGTAGAAAAGCCTGTTGCTCCTCACGGTTGAGCATATTGTCTTTTTCTATGGTGGCATATTTCTCTTTAAAGGACACAGTACATTTTTAAACAGAGGGTTTAGTTTTCTTAACTCAAGTTGGCGTTAGGTTGTTTTAAGCTTGATTTGATCTATTGATATTCTATGAATTTAAGCTCTACTCCTCTCTGGTTGAGCCTATTAAATACAATTTTTCAATCTGTTCTGCTAGTAATTTATTTTAAAAGCTAAAATACTCATTCTAATTTCTCATCCAAGTCATATCAGCCGATGAGGAGTCATGTTATGCAGTAAAAGTCCTCTGCTCCACATGGTTGAGCATTACTAGGTTTATCAGCAGTTCCAAAGAATAGAGTCAGGGGGTCTGAACATAATCACAAGAAAAAATTATATTTTTATGGCCTGATTAGATGTATTTATCGTTTTTAATCACACTCACTTTCAAAACTCAGTTTCTTCCCAATCAGTATTCCCAACTAAGGTATAATAGTTTCGTGCTCCGCATCGGTTGAGCAAGGTGTACCATTATTGATTATGTTATCTGGTGCGTATTCCTTTAAACTAAGATTTTGTGAAAAGACGGAGATTCTACTGTAATGTTTACCCCTGGTTGAGACGAAAAATATGAGGATATTTCGACTGCTCCACACTGGCTGAGGTCCATTTTATGATTTGTCAGTGAAAATATTTTGCAATTAACGTCCAGGATCTATTTGTTAAATGGCGATCAAAATAGTCAAAAAGCATAGATTTTATTTAATTGGGGTGCTCCACACTTTTTTGCTCCACATCAAAAACCAGGTCATAACTTTTGCTCCACATGAGATAGAAACTTCATTCCAAAGAATTCAGAAAATTCGGAATCTTCAGATGAAAATGATATCAGAAAGGATTAAATTGCTCTTTATCAACCTGCTCAAAAATTTAAATCAAAAAGTAAGCAAAATGGGCAAAGCAAAATTGACAATGACCATGTGCAAACATTTTGGAACTTCATTTATATCGGTTTTGTGTTTATATTGCCGATTACATATTAATAAACTGAATATCTTCCTTTACAATTAATATTTTTTGATGCGATAAAAACTGTCTATCAGTGCCATAGTACTTAAACATGTCTCCATTTACATGAAATGTAATCTACTTCATATCAACATGTCCAAATGCTGCTACATACATTTTAAACCTGCCTCTGAATATGATGACACCTGTGCACGGACTAGACCATTTGCTACCCTGTTAGATGAATCAAGATCAATATTCATCAATGGTAAGGTTATTACTAAAGTCAAGGATACCAAATTCTTAGGTGTTGTTATAGATAGTAAGCTAAACTGGATTGCCCAAATGCACTACATCCGTAAAAAACTGCGATCTATGACTGGTGCAATCTGCAGGATTCGGCACTCGATACCTTCTGAACTATATTTGCTGTGCGCGTTGTCGGCCGAAACCTGGGAAGTTTCCGCTCTAATATTTCAGACGACAGTGATGACTCATTAAGAGCACTAATTTCGACCACTTTCCCGGTCGAACCATACCAAATCAAACTAATTTACCCACGTGTATAGCCCATGTCCTGGCGGTGCTGAGCCGATGTAAAACTCTTCTGTAAACTCTTTTGTCTCTTGTTTATATTTTATATTTTAGTTATACTGTGTACTGTGTACTGTGTACAATAGTTATAG